GTAGTTCTCACCTCAACTCAGTAGCTTATGCCGAGTTGAATAATTGATTACATCCAAATCTACAGCCTTAGGATTTCTAGATTGGCCCATAGAATTTTCACTCCTAAAACTTTTCAAAATATGTTTTTTGAATAATGTAAAGTCTTCATGCTAGTAATTACAGTGCCATTTTAGTCCAAGCTCACTTGAGTACAGCACCAATGTCACAATTTCTCTTGGGAAAAAATGTAAGTTATTGTATTACTATGTTAGATAAAATTTCTTTCTTTTGATGAGGAACACTGGTTAATAAACAAAGGACAGAATTTAGTGTCAAACTTTTAAATGTAGCAGAAACTAGTGGACAGTTTTTTAAAAGCCTTTTCACCTAAGATGGACAAGATTTCCAGAGAATGTGATCTCAGACACTCCTAAGTGATTTCTGTGGTCAAGCTTTCAAATAAGCCATTTAGCTTCTTAGGTTTTCAGAACTTAACTAATTTTAAATAAAATAACTACAAACAAATGAAAATATAAACAAAAAAGGGAAATAAAGATGAAAACTGGGCATGCTAGGTCCAATCCTATGGCACGTGTAAGTAGTTATAACTAAACTAGATCACTCACTTAGAAGCAACTGTAGCTAACACACCTTTTTCCAGCTATAACAGGCTTTTTAGTCATGATGCAGCATACGTAATAAAGAGAGGAGTGGTATCACCTTGGTGGCCAGCTGTGGGCAGAGAGGCACACATTTGTGTCTGTTTTCCATGTGTTCACCATCAGATTGTGATCAGTTCCTGTGCAGTGAGAGCACATGGGTTAAGCCACTTGTGAAAAGAACCAGTCTGTACCAGTGTTTATACACGACAGATTTTTGCAAGAAGCTGGTCAGAAACTGTTCAGCTGCAGCATTTACAGTTATCTCTATTTTCTTCTTGCAATGCCGTGGAATATTATAGGTAGTACTGAAGAAACTCACCCCACCATTGATAGTGGTCCTTCTGGTTTTTATAGCAACCTTCACTGCCCTGGGAAGTGCTTAGCTATACCAAACCTTGCAAGTACTTGGGACTTTATCCTTTTAACACTTCGTGTACAATATGCAATTGTTCAGAAGAGTAATACACACGTTCTTGAAGACAAAGGCACTATGAAAGAAAAATTACACATCTTATGCCATGTTCCTCTTCAAGCTGAACTCTTTGAGTAAGAGAAAACTTCTTATCAATTCCCACACCATGAAGATGTGAACAAAGACATGACAGATGTCATTAATGCTATGCTAGTGCTGCATCTATTTTCACATGTCTATTGGGACAATCTTGGCAATTTGCTGCTGTGCAAAAAGATCACCAAGAGCATCCACTCTTTGAAATAACCTTGCAAAGCTTAAGTAATGCTTTTTAACTAGAAGAAACTATAAGAGCAAGTTTTGACCTATCTGAATCTAAGCAGGCATCAACAGCTTCTCAATCTGCATCTGCTTTCTTTTTGTTCATACAATTAATTCTTTGGCTCAACTACAATAAGAAATACAGGTGCAGTTTTCCATTAAGCTAATGGAAACTCTGAAAATACTTTCCAAGGAATTAATCTGGCTACTAAGATATAATATATCACATTCCAATTAACTCTATGGTAAAAGATGATGATTTCATAATGACAAGGCTGCAATTTCACTGTAGGGCTCTTTTAGCAGAGCAGAAGCTGAAAACTTTTTGTTGAGTATCCTGTCTGTTTTAAAAGGCAGAAGGTAGCAAGTACCAGAAATGTTTACTTCTTTTTCTATATGTCACTCTTATTTATGAGAGAAATTCTACCAGAAACGGTTTCAATTTTGCTCTCTAGGGAACAGGAGAGAGGGAAAGAGAGGGAGCAGGAGAAGGAGAGCGAGCACAACGATACTTAAGTCAGCAGAGTTGCATCAGTGTAACCTTAACCTGAGGTCACAAGAAGATGAAAAAGGTTTGTTCTTACTAGTAAGGCTCGGGATAGAGCCTTATATCTCATGCCCTGGTTTCTGCATCTGTTTTGCAGTGTTTAGTGTGCTTACATACGTTTTATCTAAAGGAAATGTAAACACTATTACATTCATACACTGGGGTGCTTATATTATGCATTTGCAAGAGCTCATTGTGTAGTTTGATCATCTCTTGTGTTCCCCACATAGAGAATCTGAGATGGAAAGGCAGGGAGCATAAGGCTGTTCCCCCACACATGATTTTACCAGGGCAGAATCCTAACAAGCACTGGATCTGCTCCATCAGAAGGACCTGCATGAATACATCCAGAGTACTTACAGGATTGTGCTTTTCCCAGAGGAAAAGACAAGGGAATTGCATTCTTTTCGAGTTTTAGTCTCCCCTTTTTTTTTTTTCCTCGCCCCCCCAATCGTAAGGCCTAAAATGATCTTCCGAGTGTCTAAAGTTCTCTGTGTAGGTAAGGAGTCCCGTGGCCTCTTAAAGAGGGGCAATAAGAGCTCGAAGATCCTGCACGGAGGGAGGCGCCCTTACTGAGAATAGGAGCCGTATCCCGATGGCCCCTCTCCACTGCCAGCGCACCCAGACCCGGGCGTGCCAGCGGCCCCGGCCCGCCTGTCGTGCGGCCGCTCCGGGCGCCCCCCTGCCCGTGCCCTGCGCTCGGAGCCACCGGAGCCCGGCGGGAACCGGAGCTGCGGAGCAGCACCGATCCGCCGACACCCCCACATCCCCACTCAGCAGCTTCCGAGCTCAGGGTCGGCGTTTTTAAGCGCGCAGACGATCTGCGCCGGCGGCAGCTACAGCCATGGACGGTCAAGACGAGGGGCAGAACACACTGGACGTGACACACGGGGACCGGACAGCGGGAAAATAAAGGATCCTCCTACCCTGAGGGCTCCCTCACTGACTCTGCTGTGTACCTGCTCTGCTCCTCCATGCTGCGGTTCCCTGGCGCCCGCCACTCGGGCAGGGTGCTGGCGCACAGCACCACCATGGACACGATGACGAAGAGGATGGAGACAGTGGCCAGGACCTGGGCGGCCACGGAGGACGTGGGCTCCTCGAAAGTCCTCCTCATCCTCTCCAGCCACTTCCCGCCCTCGGCTCCCGGCGGCCGCCTTCCCTTGCCCTCGAGGCCGCCACCCGGCTCCCCTGGCGGCTCCTCCGCCGCGTAGTAGGTGTACGTCTCGGACATGCGGTCGTCGAGGCGGCGCTGGCAGCAGTAGTCGAGGTGGGAGCCCTCCAGTCCCCAGTAAATCATCTCGTTGTAGAAGGAGAGCTCGCACATGTGTGGCACGAAACGCAGGTGGCCGTGCCGCACGTACAGCATGATGAAGCCGAAAGCCTCCGAGTGCCGGTCGAAGAAGTACTCGTTCCTCTCCCGGTCGTAGTCGTCGCACACCTCCAGCACGTCCTTCTCCGACAGGCAGCCGTGCAGGCGGCTCACTCGGCGCAGCGGGAAATCCTTTAACACCTCCCGGGAGAAGGAGTACCGGGTGCCCCCGACGTTCAACACCACCGGGGGGCCACGGCCAAAGTTCATGGCTCGGGCGGGACGGAGAAGGGGAAGCGCGGGCAGGGCAGGGCGGCGAGCAGGGGGGCAGCGCGGGCGGCGGCGGCGGCTGCCCCGGCTCCGGCTCCGCGCGTACCGCTGGCGGCTCCCGCTCGGCGACGGGGCGGGCGACAGGCGGGGACGGAGGGAGGGAGGGAGGAACGGCGGGAGAGGCGCCCCAGCGGCCGCGCAGGAGCGGAGCGGGGCGCGGCGAAACGCGCGTCCCCCCGGCGATGCCTCGGCGATGCCGCTCGTAGGTGCCGGTGCGGGCTCAGCGCCGGGGGCGGGCGGGCAGCTCCCCGGGACCCCGCCGGGGCAGGGGCGCGGCCGCGGGCATGGCGGGACCGGGGAGCTCCGCACCCGGCGCAGCTTCGCTCCGGCGGTGCCGGTGCCGGCTGGCAGGCGAGCGAGGGGCGGTGCAGCGGGATGGAGACACGCCTCCTCCCCCGCCCGCGCACATGGCGGAGCGGGGCGTGGGTTGCCTGTGGCTCCCACCGCCCCCGGCCCGCGGCGGACCCTTCCCGTCAGAGTGTTTCGGAGCCCCGTCCCCGCTACCCCGCTGCCCGCTCCGCCAAGCGGCACTTGGCCGAAGTTGTCCACCAGACGAAAGTGAACGGTTTTTCCCCTCATCTAAAAAAGCTCGAAGTGAAGCGTTTGAGCGCGACTCAGCTCGCTCCTTGTTCGCGGCAGCCGATGGCCAGCGCCTGTCGCTCCCGTCTCGTTTGTTTGCCTACCGGGGCAGGCTGTCCCGGCTCCCGGTCCCCAGCACGGCACGGCACGGCACGGCAGGGCGGTGGCTGCAGCGCCGGGCTGCCCTGCAACACGCAGGTTTCCTGTAACAGCCCGTCCGCCCCAGCCCTCCGCCGTGCGCATCTGGATAGGGAGACTCTTTACTTCTCCGATACGGTATGGACACCAGGAAGAGTGTTCTTCCCTGCTTCAGCCCATCTCCGCCTCAGGTCTCTGCTCCTGCAGCTTCCTGAGTTCTTGTTTCCTACACCTGTCCACAACATTAAACCAACTATTAGCTCCCACGACCCTGTCTGCCTTCTAAAGCTTTTATTTCATTTGATTGCATTAAGTACAGGGAGTTAAATTCCGCTACTGATTTAAAAAAAAAAAAAAAAATCATTTTTTTACCCTGACATGACTATTCTCCAGGCTTGAGGTATTTTCTAGGCTTATTAACGTCCCGAGCATCATGGGGTAAAATCAGACAAGATACAGTTCTCTCTTTCAATGAGATGCTTCCAGTTGTCAGGAAAAAGGGCAGGTGAGTATTATCTTTTTCAAAGTAATGCCGAAGATTTGTCACTCACTGTGTCTTTAAAAAGACATCCAGATTAAACCAGAGTTTTGCCATCCCCGTTGTTTTTCGCTCTAGATATATGCACTCTTGGTTGGGTTTGGTGATTTTTGTTGCCGTTGCTGTCCTGTTACTTTATCAGGTGATATTTTTAAGGCACATTTAGGAGTATCAAAATAAATGAATAATAGTCTAATTGTGTATTAAAAATTATGAGTGTTTTTTTAAGTAGAATGCGATTAAGCGCTGCTATTTTTAAGCCTATTTGTCATCTTCTAAAAAATACTTCTGGAGAGATTCGAATAAATGTCCCCGTTACCACGAAGAGAATCCTACGAGCTCTTGTTGTTATAAAGTGTTGCCACTAGAGGGCGCCGTTAGTCATTCTTCCCTGTTAGTTTCCCGGTTTTTACCAGAAACCCACCCAAACTCCAGCTGCAAAATGTAGTCAAGTACACACGCCAGCGTGTTGTTGCGCAGTAAGGTCATTTTTTATCTCCGTTTAGTCATGCTGATGTCTGTTTTCACATAGCTGGAAAGGTTTTTCCTTCCAGTGGCTGCGTTCATAGAACCATAGAATTGTCTTCATTGGAAAAGACCTTGAAGATCATCGAGTCCAACTGTTAACCCAGCACTGCAGAGTCCACCACTAAACCATGTCCTTAAACACCACATCTACACATTTTTTAAATACCTCCAGGGATGGTGACTCAACCACTGCCCTGGTTCAGCTACTGTATCTTGGCTGCTTGTTAATTTTATAAGCAACGAACACTCTTTTAAACCTCTTCACCCTCCTTTGATGTGTATGCTTCTGTATTGCATTCTTTCAGGAATAGTCACTAGAAAATCTGTTCGAAAATTAAGCAGCAAAACCTGACTAGAACTCTGACAGTGCTAATGAATTATCCAGGTGCTTTTGGCTGAGCAATTTGTCAGGCTTCCTGCTCCATATGTTCTAACCTGCTCCATCCCTCATAGGGAGCTTGCAGGGGAAGAGAGCAGAGTACAGGTAACATGGCCTGAAGACACATATTTGAAAAACTGTATGGAAACATGGGTTAGAGTGTATGTTCTAGAAATCATTTCAAGATGAACAAAGCTTTATTGGCTGTGTTTAGAAGCTGTATGGCAGAACAGGTAAAGTGCTGGCCTGACAAGGCTTTATCTTTAAAATGCACTGCTTGATGAGGTATTGTGGGTTGATTTGAAACCTATGCCTATTTTTGGTTTTCAGTTTCTTTTATATAGAATAAAATTATTTCCTCCTTCAGAACAACTTTGTCAGACATTCAATATAAGCAAAGCTAACCTGGCAACAGGGATGTTTTCTTTTCCTCCACATGTTCAAATTTAGTTATTTTAGTTATAATTACTGACTTCCAATTGAGATTTATTCCAGGGAGCTGGTGTCAACAACTGTAAAGAATATCTTTTTGCACCAGGAGCAGCAATTTATCACAACCAAAACCTCAAGAGTTTAGACAGAATTTACAGTCTTTCAGTTTTGAGATTGGTTACCCCGTTGGAGTTCTGGAATGGCAGGTTTGTAGTAAATTTGTAGTAATTCACATTGTTTCATGGTAATTACTCAGAATTTACAAGTGGTGGTTCAGTAGTTGTAATATATGTGTCTTAATTTTTTTGTTTGTTTTGTTTCTGTTGGTGTTTAGTGATTGAATGTCTTAAGATATTTGAAAAAATAAGATAGAGAGCCTGAAAGAGACAAAACACTGAAGACTTTGTGTGATAATATGCAAAACATTTAGTAATATATTAAGAAAAAAGATCTTCTTAAAGGTTATTGTGTAAAATACCAAACCAAACCAAAAATATGTTTGAAAGTGCCATCTGTATTGATTTGAAAGATGGTACCTAATTAGTATAAAACAGGTGAACCAATAAATCCATGTAAGTCAACATAGAAATTAGTAAAGAGTATTCAACCTATGCGTTAAATGGTAAAGTATGAGGCATAAAGGGAATCTTTAGAAGGACTGAATGGGCTAGTAATCTAAAATATTAGAAAGACCTCTTTCAAGTAGTTGAGTTCAGGTGTTTAAGGTGTTGGTTTGTTCTTGGTTGGGTTTCAGTTTTTAGGATCTGGATATACACGCTGGGATGTTGAATCAAAACAATTAACACTTTTCCTGGTGTTACAGTTGTTATCATTTGCTGCCCAGGAGGAACTTTACAATTGATAGTAATTATGTAAAACTAGCTTTCTTTGTGTCAACATTTATTTTCAGGGCTTGTACTGTGCTATTGCATCCTAGGGGTATTTAATGAACTTGAAATATTTTCTACAGCTTCCAAATCTTTCTAGCCCTGTGCTGAGACTGTTGCTCTGTCTTCTGAGTGCAGCTCTATGCTTGCTTTTAGAAAAGAGAGTCTTTACTTACATTTTGAATGTGAACCTAGGGGTATAATTTAATGGCAGAATTTTTCATAACTCGGGTGAGATTCTGTTACTATTGAGGTAGCTACTGAGTGCTGCTGACTTCAATACAAGCAAAACTGGCTTTTGATGGGTTGTCTTCTATCAGGAATCTCAATTATTTTTATGACCACAACCTGTAGGAACTTCAGCTGTGGAGCAGGTTGTCATGATGATAGACTTGTAAACACAGAACAAAAAGATCTTCCCGGCCAGGGATTGTGTAGTGTATAACATGAAAAATTGTGGGGTGAAAACCCCAGTGCTTTTTGGTATCAAACATACTGCCATATTTGGCCATCTCTATCTTAATTACTTGAAAAGGCGATACATAAAGAAAAGAACAAATGCTTCAAAAGTTCTGCATGCACAGATGGACTGTGATTTACATTTATCTTTTGTTTAGGTCTTGGGCAAAATTGGTTTCAAATAGATGTTTTTTTCTAAATCTGACCTCTCCTCACCAAAGCCCCTCTACTTCAGTATGATTTGTGGGCTACATAGAAAACCTTTCAGGAGATGATCCCATTGCCACATATAATTACCAAACAAACAGTCTAATGACAGATGCAATTTGGATTGTCAGTGGCACCTGACATAAGAGTACAAGTTCCCTTGTCACTGAGGCACTTGTAAAAATCTGAATAATTTTGAATATAAATGTTTCTAAAAGTGGATGAATGACATTTAGTAGGGAGCTGGGTATTCACATATATATACATGTGCACAGAATACAATCTGCAGTTGACATTTATAATGAGACTAACTTACTTCATGAAACGTGCTAACAGTTTGGGAAATATGGCTGCAAACAGTTAAGATTTGATACTGGAGAGTCAATGTATTTGTAGGTCAGACAGTGAGCTTTCTTTAATGTGAGAGACAACTGCCTTCCCTGTTGTTCTTCATCTCCATATTGAGAAAATCCTAGCAAAACTTCTTGTCCCTGATGCTGGGCTAATTACTGAAGGCTGTTAAAGTTTTCAGTGACTGCTGAATTGAGTGAAGCCCTCTCGGACAGAGATGGGGAGTAATCCAGTTTGTTACATCTGAACTTCAGGCAGGCAGATACAAAGCACAGAGAGAAGGACATTGCTCGCCTGAGGAAGGTGATTAGAAGGAGACTTGCTAATGGAGAATTCAAAGGCATGAATGTATTCTCACAGGAGAATACAACATGGGAATGTGTTTTCACACCAGTGAGAGTCTGTTCCTAATGACTACCAAGGGGAAGGGAAATAGTCTGCAGAGAGGATAGAGAGAAATCCTGGGATTTGGAGAAGCCATGTGTAGGGGTGAATCCAAAGTATGTCCTCAGAAAAGGAAGAAAACTGGTCCAGGCAAATGGATATAAACATTA